CCGGGAAGACTTTGCCAAAGCAGGTAAGAACTGAGGTCAGAAAAGGATTGGGTTGGATGGAAAGACACTTTCTGTCACTGGGCTCATAGTGACTACAGAGACACAGGCCTAGGGTTTTTGCGTTGCTGTATGGGGAAGGATCCGCTTGTTTTTCCAAGACAGAAAGTTGGAGTGGTGATAGGCCTCTCTCAGCTGCTGCAAAGAGACATCTGACCTCTGTTGCATTTGGCCAGTGGTTTTCAGTGTTTCGGGGAGCCTGAGGGGGTTGGGGCTCCATAGAAGTGTCCCCTTAGAGGAGGAACAGAGAGGTACAAGACTGTCCTTCATCCTCTCTGTAGCCAAACAAGAAACCCCACTTAATACTGTGCTTCTGCATAATGTTTTGCTTGAAGAAACGATATCACAGCGAGGGAAAAAGCTTGAAAACCGCTGCAATGAGCCTTTTAGTATTTACTGATGAACTTGGTTGTACTCTTTAAGGATCGTGTGGACTGTTTCCCCTGCCCGCCACTCTTCTTCAGTTGCTTTTTCTGAAAAGCTAAAATACATGTTGGAACATGGCAATTTTAGGGCAGTTTTAGGATAAGAGTAACTACTCCCATCCTTGTGCTGTACCCCGGAGTGTTTTCTCCAAGAATTAGTGCACACACAGTGCTGCTCATCGCTACTTGCTTGTGGGCTAAGTGGTGTTGGCTTCCTCATATTCAGTTGCCAGTAACGTTTGTGTTATGGGAGTGGGGGTGGAAAAGCATGGGAAGCTGAGAGGGTTTTGGAGGGACTAGAACTTCGACTTAACAGGAGACTGAGGAGTTGAACACCTGAGGGCGTGGGGCTGTGAACTAGGGCTGAAGCAGTGACTTCATTCTTGGAGTTGGTAGGCCCTGGTTTCCAGGGCAGAGCTCATAGTCTTCGGTTTCTGGTGAGAGAGCAGCTCACGTGCCTCTTGTTCCAGCACAGGTCCGCCCGTGAGCTTTCTAGGAAGGCCTCCCTTAAACCCTAGCTCTGTGGCCATCAGTTGCCCCGGGTGCTGCTGGCATGTGTAGGCACCTGATGGGGCAATTTGATGACTTTCTCCAGCTTTCCCAAAGCCCAGCCCAGCTCCCTTTATCTGCCTGGTCCCCAAATGCTTATTATCCCCATCCTTCCAAAGCATGGCCGCTGCCTCCTTCCTAGCACCCTCCTTCCTTTCCTTTCCTTTTCTTTTCTTTCTTTCTTTCTTTTTCTTTCTTTCTTTCTTTCTTTTTTTTAAAGATTTTATCTATTTATTTGGCAGACAGAGATCACAAGTAGGCAGAGAGGCAGGCAGAGAGAGAGAGAGAGAGAGAGAGAGAGAGAGGTGGAAGCAGGCTCCCTGCTAAACAGAAAGCCCGATGCAGGGCTTGGTCCCAGGACTCTGGGATCATGACCTGAGCCAAAGGCAGAGGTTTAACCTACTGAGTCACCCAGGCACCCCAGCACCCTGCTTTCTGAACGCTTCGCCCTTCCCCTGCCTGGGCGTTCCTTCAGCACTTGCAGACTCGTGCTGTCTGAATCGGCACCTAGTTATCGATTCATTGACGTGAGCAGTTTTGCTGCCATCCTGTTTGCCTCTCATTTCCTTCTGTCAGTGAGGTCTTGGGGAGGAGGGGCAGGGGCTGTCTTTTGTCAGGTCTCTGTCCGTCTCTGCATCCACTGCTGTGTGTGCACAGGGTGGGCAGCTCAGGATGCAGACCGAGAGCAGCGGAGGCCCACGCTCAGTGACCAGGGGCGGAGCTGGCAGGGCGCACGGCCCAGCTCCAGAACCTCCTCATCCTCTCTGTACAAAGGGGCCATTCAGCACATTTTGAGGCTCAACAACCCTCCAAGAAAGGCTTTATAAAATGGCTCTTGTCCATTCAGTGTCTCAACTGTCTCAACATACACTTGATAAACATCAGGGGAGAAGTACAGGAAGTGATTAATCAGGGAGCGTCACCTGGAAAAGTTAGCAGAAGGCTGCTGAGAGACAGCAGACGGACCGGGACAGGGTGGGGTGGGGCGAGGAGACTTAGTGATGGGAGAAGTGTTCTTTAGGTGTCACGACTGTAGGTCACGGTTTGTTGAACTTCACTCTCCTCAGCAAGTGGACTGGTTCTATGTTTTGAGTTTATTCATTCATTTATTTATTTAACAAATACTTATATAGTAGTTACCATTCTAAGGACCCAATGAGGTACTATTATTATCCCCATTTTACAGACGGAAAAACCAAGGCTCAGGGAACTTAAATAACTTACCCAAGGTCACACAGCCTAATTAATGGTCGAGCCGGGACTCGGACCCAGGCAGTGTGATGCCACAGCCCCTGCCCTCGACCATGTTGCTGTCTTCCTGCTGGGACATGAAACATGAAATGTATCTCTGGTATTCAAATAAGTAAGGCCAGTTGCCAGTGATAAAGTTTTCTTTGTAAACAGAAGGAAGCTTTGCCTCTATTTCTAGAGAATTCCAGGGACAGCAGTATTATCATTGAATCCAGCACCTCCTGTGTGCCAAGACAACCCTACATGTTTTGCGTGCTTTATGGTTTCACCATCACAGCAGTCTTATATGTTCAGATAGGATTCCCAGGTCACAGAGGAGGCTTAGAAAAGTTAAGAAACTTGCCTAATGTTACCCGGCAGAGCCCCGGGAGACTTCTTAGTGATTTCCTAACAGTTCCCCTAAGTTGAGGAGCTGGAGGAGAGAAGGAAGTTCCTGCTGCCTGTGCCGCGTGCCCCAGCCTCCCTTCTTCCTCCCCAGGGCTGCAGGTGGAGTTCATCAACCCCATCTTCGAGTTCTCCAGAGCCATGAATGAACTGCAACTCAATGATGCTGAGTTTGCTTTGCTCATTGCCATCAGCATCTTTTCTGCAGGTGCGAGGAGGGGCAGGAGGGAAAAGGAACAAGAGATTTGCACCAAGCAGAGCCGCAGGCCCCCTAGGGCAGGAATTGTGGAAGTGGAAGCCCTTGCTGTGCTACTTTGGGAGAGGCTGGGTGGGGTATGTCCCTATTTGGGGGGTTGTGATTTGGGGTATAGAACTAAGACCCTGGCCAGACCTGCTCCTCAACTCTGTTGGTGACCTATAGACCGGCCCAACGTGCAGGACCAGCTCCAGGTAGAGAGGCTGCAACACACATATGTGGAGGCCCTGCATGCCTACGTCTCCATCCACCACCCCCATGTGAGTCTCCCTGTGAGTCTCCCCTCCCCTCTTCTCCTCCTCCCCAGAGGCTCATCCCCTGACACACCTACTTTCCTTTCAAGAATCCTTCCCTGACTACATCTTGCACAGACAATTCGCTACCTCTCTCTACCCTTGCCCCCTACCCTGGGGGCAATTCCCCTACCCTTGCCCCCTTCCCTGGGGAGAGGCAGAAACTGTACTTTGTCCCCTCCTTCCCCCAGGACCGACTGATGTTCCCACGGATGCTAATGAAACTGGTGAGCCTCCGGACACTGAGCAGTGTCCATTCAGAGCAAGTGTTTGCACTGCGCCTGCAGGACAAAAAGCTTCCCCCACTGCTCTCTGAGATCTGGGATGTGCACGAATGACTGCTCTTCCTCCCCCCACCCACACCCCCATATCTTCTGTTTTCTGGGCTGGAAGGCTGATGCGCCCGGCTGCTTCCTAGAGGTGAAGCAGACTGAGAAGGGCAAACATAACTCAGAGCTGGGCAAAGGAAATCCTCGAGTGACATTAAAGGAGAGTCAAAGGGTTGGGAGTTTGGCTGCTGGGCAGTGGAGGGTCCTGCTGAAACTCCATCTGAATCCTGTACTGCCCCAACCAAATGGATGGACCTGGGGGCCACTTTGCACAAGGTTCTCCCAGGCCCTTCCCGTCCTGCCTCCACCACTTCCTGTTTTCCCCACAGGGCCCCCAGAGAAATTCTCTGCTGTCACTCTGTGGCTTGGCCATAAATGCCTTGGGGCTGCCTCACTGATAGGCCTGGCGCTCTTTGTACAGAAAGACCAAAAGGAAGATAGGATGAGCAAAACCATTTCTGGGTTGGGGTGGGGGCGCGGCCACAGAGGAGGAAACCGTCATTTAAGATCTGCCTCCAGACGCAGAAGAGGGAGACAAGTCACGAGTGACAGCTTTGGCAGTAAGAGGGGACCTCCTCTTACTAGTCCCATGAGGGTGAATGAAATGCTGAGGGTTAGATGCCCTTTTCGTTTAATGATCCAGGCGGGATCGGGTTGTCTTTTCTGAGGAGGAGCTTGGGTAAATTTTCAGAACTAACACCTCAGCCATGCACCTGTCTTCCCACGCGCCTCCATAATGCCTCGTTGGTACCTTTAAAAAAAAAAAATTAAAAATTTTTTAAAAAGGAGGGCACAACAGTCCGTACTCTAGGGCCCCAGGCCCTGTGGAATGGGGAGGCTGCCCCGTTGCCGTTCGGGCCTGTCAGAAGGGCTGGACTCCATTTCCCAGCGGACACCGCGGCACGGTTCACGCCCCCTTCGCTCGGCGCGCTCCCGTGTAGGTGAGACGGAGGCCGCGCCTTCCGGCATCGGTCCCCCCGCCGTCCCTGAATTGGTAGGCTCCACCTCCGGGGCAGCCGGCTTTGCAGCCCAGGCTGCTGGGCACTTCCAAACCGCTAGCGGGGGGAGGGAGGGTGAGGTGTGGGGGACGCTCAGAGACTTTCGGGAGCAGTGTTATCTTGAGAAGCCGCCTCCAGATTAATCCACATCTCGTCGAAATAAGCTCTATTACCATGTGAAATTAAAATCTCTTCGTGCAACCTAGACAAAATGTATTCCTTTGGGTCCTCCCCGTGGCACGCTTGGCACTGGGCTGGCCCAGCGTTCCCCATCGCCGTCCCACTCCCACAAGGATAGGTGTGTGCGTAGCCGCCTTTCTCCCGAGGTTAGCTCCACCCTTCAGCCCTCTGCTTGGTGCAGCCCTGTCCACCCCCCCCCGGTGGTGCGTGGTACAGCCCCCGGCCCCCTCAACCTCCCCCTCCCTCACTGGCTCCGAGTGGTACGCGCCCCCCGGTGCAGACACGGAACTGGCGCGCGCTCGAAGCCGCGCTGGAGCCGGCGAGCTTCCGACACTCCGCTGCCGGGGGCAGTCTGGCTGGGCCTGGCCGGTTCCCCTAGGAACGGGAGGTAGGAAGGTCCGGGCCACAGTGGGTCCTGGGAGGGTATTTGGGACGGGGCTCCCCGGGGGAGACGGACTTTGAGAGGAAACAGGGGTTCTAGGGGGAAGCCACCTTTGGAGAGGCCCTAAAGGAGATGGGGGGCGTGGGGTCTGGAGGGGGACCGGGGGGGGGGTCCCGAGGGAAGGAGGCGGGGCTAGAAGGGAGGGCGCGCTCGGAGCCGCGGAAGAGGTGCGGGCTGCAGGACTGGGCTCAGCTCGCGGTGGCTGGACTCGATTCCGCCCCGGCTGGCGGGTGGCGCTGGTTCGGGGCGTGGGCGGGGGAAGAACTGCCCAGCAGGTGAGGGGGCGGGCAAGAGCTGTTTTGCCGAGGAAGGAGCCGGGATAAGCACCTGGCGCGCGCGCGCCGTGTGCACCTTATATTTGATCACGGGTTGGAGATCATGTTTGATTTTTTTGAAAAAAGAAATTTTTTTTTTGGTGTTTCAAAACTGGCTTGTTAGAGAATCGAGATGCCATTTCATCTTTTCTGCAGCTGCTTCCCTCCCCATCCTCGCGCATCTTTAAATTCTTCCTCTTCCTGTCCTCGCCTCTTTTCCAACCCTGCCTTTTGCCTGCCTTATTGCTCTCGTTCTCCCCCACGCTGACCGGTCTGTGCTGATGCGCTTGCAAGGTCACTGCCTGGGTAGGAGGGGAGAGAGCCTTCTGTTGTGCTCACGTCAGCAAAGATGTCATCTCGCTCTCCGGTTCCTGTGGTTTTACTATGACATTCTGCCCCAAACGAGGGACTAATCCAAAGCGTTGCTAAACCTGGCCATTTGTAGGCTGAAAAGACATAGAGAACTTAAACGTCTGTGGATTCTAAATCTGCTGTCTGGATGGAGTGGATGGGGAAGCAGATAGGTACGTGTTTGATGCCTTTGGAACATAGGAGCTGAGAACCAGGGACTCCCTATTAGTAAACATGGTTGAGGCAAAAGGCAGAGTCTGAGTGTGGTTGATATGAAGACAGGATGTGAGTTATAGGTGATGTTAGTCTTTATGGGAAGGGGAGAGAATGTGGAGGAAAGCCTATCTTTGCAATCGGAATAACCAGAGGTAGTGGCTGTTGATGAGATATGAAGTGTGGCTAAAAATCTATCCTATCACTAGGGCTGGAATAGTCACAAGATCTCAGGGTCCTTGTAGTTCCGGAGGGAGATGGACATGGTAGAGCATGATAATGACTTGAGCTTTATCAAATGATTCTCAGTGGCAGGGCTAAAATCCCACCAAGGCTAGAGGCCTGATGCCCTAATATATTTAGTAGAAGACACTTCAGGTGTGATTGTTGAAATTTTGGCAGGAAAGGGCCCTTGGTTTTCAGTGTAAACATAGATTTCAAGGCTTAGCCTTGAGCTCTGGCCCCATAAATTCTTTTTTATTTTAAGATACATTGGCTCTCGCCCTAAGCAATTTTCATATAATTAAAGAATTACATTTTTTACACATGTCTCTTTTCATTTTTCTATTTCCCCTCCCTTTCTTACTCTGCTTGCAAGGACCAGAGATCAACTTTATAACAGTGCCCCACCTTCTGCAGTTTGCTCACGACTCCATGGCACTGGAGGGAACCAAAGGACTTTTTGGGTGGTAATGATAACCTAGAAATGAGCATATGGCATGCGTAAACTCGGTTTGGGTTGCATGGAAAGAAGAGATCTCTCTCAAAATCCAGAAGTTAGAACAAAGTATAAACTAAAAATAGATGGGGAGAAGATAATGTAATAATTAGCAGGTGCTGTCAGTGGACAAAGTGTCTCTAGATTCAAGGAGAATGAATTGTTATGGGCCCTGGACGACTCTGGAGTAGCAGCTGCTAGCACTCTGTGGTCACGGAGCAGGGGAGGGGCTGTGGCTATGCTATAAATAGTCCTGGGCGCCTGGGTCGCTATGGAGACAATACGGAATCCTATTACCTGCAGCTCCTCTATTGGGAGCAAGAGAAGGGAGGGAGCAGTATTTTGAGGATTCAAGAGTATTGCGGAGCAGTCTATTTATTATTAAGCAGGGAAGAAAAAGATAGAACTCATTATCTAAATCAAATAGAGCCATAAGCATACAGGGATTATGCATGTCTGGGTGTGGGAGTGCACGGGAGTGGCGTGTGTGTATGTAGTGTAATGGGAATATCTGTGTGTGTAGCAAAGGAGGTCTTAGTGTGACCATGTGTGGAGTATAGAAGTAGGATCCTGTACGCACTGAAGATAGCCTTGTAGTGGAGTGAAACATTTTGCTTAGAGAAGTGTATGGAGACCTAATAGGACATAAATTATAATTAAGACCATGTAAGCTTTTCCCGCTTTTTGGACTATGGTTTACAATTTCTCTGAGCACCTCTCCCTGTTCTTGCAGGAATTCTGTTATTTCTGCATCTAATTTTTCATTTGTGTAAGAGGTACAAGGACAAAGTCTCATCTGTGTGTATTGTATCCCTGATTCCAGTCCTGGGGCTAGAATAGAGAAAGACTATGATTCAGCACCAAGGGCAGAGCTAGTAGCGGTAACCCGTGGGCCCCTTTCTTGCTTGAAGAGGGAAGAAAAAAATGGTTTAGGGAAGCAATTGGGACATAGATTTTCTTCATCTGAGAGTGCACAGGGTAGAGTAGCCCTCTGTTGTTATCGTCTGAGTGCATGAAGTATACGGTTTTTATGGTAGTTTCACATGAAGCTGAATGCAGAATGTTAGAGCAGAAAATAATTAGGTTTTCATCCAGAGGTAGGAGTACAGATTAGTGCTGCTTAGAGTCTGGTTGGATCCTGATACCCTGGAGCTGTCCTAAAAGTGACTTAGTTTTTGTTATCAGAATGACTGAATCCAGATGAGACTAACGGGGTCTGTTTTTTCAGAAACAGAGCATCAGGAGTGAGGCTGGAAATGAGCTGCTTTGTAGGGATGTGGGAGGTGAGCCATTATTTATCCTACTTCTTGACATTTGGCTCTGTAAGTTCATCAGCCTTGACCAAGCTCTGGACTAGGAAAAGTGTCATGTTCTCCCATCTTTAGGATTAAAACAGAAGCCCTTCTGACCTCTGACCCTGGCTGAAACAAAGCTGAGGGGGATGAGTCCCTTAGGCACAGCAGTGGATTTTATCAGTACTTTTTTCCTATTGGACTTGAATTTTCAGATAACATCAGAATTCCTCCTGGGAACATTGACTCCTTGTGTGGTGCCTTGAAGTTTCTCTGAGATGAACTGGTGAATTTGGAACCATGGTGCAAAAGAAGAAGCTCTGTCCTCGGTTACTGGATTATCTAGTGATCGTAGGGGCCAGGTAACTAAGAAGAGGCTGGTTTTTGTCTTGTCACGTGCAGTGACCACAACACGTGTAATTACTTGCCTTCCTGACACCCACATTGTTTTGCATTCCTCACTCTTCCCCTGTTATTTTACCGTGACAGGTGCACTGGCGCTAGTTGTGGGAACAGCAGTCAGGTGGATTGAGAGTCTTGGCCCAGAGGAGCAGAGACAGAGCAAAATTGCTCTTATCTAGCATCCCTGTGTTCTTGGGCCAATGTACTCTGTACACCTCAGTTTCCCGATTTTGTAAAAAAGAAAAGTAGGCTGTGCTCTTTACCTACGTACCCTCTGTTGGTAGTTCGTTAGCTAATACGCCTTTTAAAGTGCTAATCATCTGAAGGCATTAGTAATAATTCTGTTGCTGCAGTTTTCTTTGCATTTCAAGATCCGTATCTTCATGACAGTACAGATCTCATTTAGCCTACCGGCTGAATGCTGCAAACCACATCCATGGTTTCCAAGGTCCCGCAGTTAGGTTACTTTATCCAAAATAGTATTTTGAGTTTCATTTCTGGACTGTGGTGAAATCTGAAATGGCATCCTATCCCTTCAGGCTGCTGAACTTGTCTTTATGTTCTGCAGGCACCCGAGCAGTGATAGTGTGGCCCAGACTCCTGAATTACTACGGCGGTACCCCTTGGAGGACCACTCCGAGTTTCCCCTGCCCCCAGATGTAGTGTTCTTCTGCCAGCCCGAGGGCTGTCTGAGTGTGCGGCAGCGGCGCATGAGTCTGCGGGATGACACTTCTTTCGTCTTCACCCTCACTGACAAGGACACTGGAGTCACTCGTTATGGCATCTGTGTTAACTTCTACCGCTCCTTCCAGAAGCGTATGCCTAAAGAAAAGGGGGAAGGTGGGGTAGGGTCACGTGGGAAGGAAGGACCCCGTGCCACTTGTGCATCAGAAGAGGTTGGCACTGAGACCTCAGAGACTGGCCTGTCCTTGCAGCCCCCCAGTGCTGACCCCGCCCCCGATGTGAATCAGTCTCCTCGGGTCAAACCCCGGGCCAAGGCAGGGAGCCGTTCACGCAACAGTACTCTGACATCCCTGTGTGTGCTCAGCCACTATCCCTTCTTCTCTACCTTCCGAGAATGTCTGTACACCCTCAAACGTCTTGTGGACTGCTGCAGCGAGCGGCTGCTGGGCAAGAAACTGGGCATCCCTCGAGGCATACAAAGGTACAGTCTGCTGCTGACACTCAGAAGAGAGGGAAGCAGTTAGAGATGAGTCGGTCTGTGAGGGGCAGGAAATTTCCTCTGAAGCCTGAGGTCCTTTGTATGGCTAGAACGAAGTGTTGTCTTAGACCGTGTTGTACGTTTAAGAATAAACTTTTGTTAAAAGAAAGAAATTGGTCAATCCTTAAAAAACCTAGCCTGCGGTCCTTTATACACCTCTTTAAGCATATTGTATTAATCCTTTCTAAGGGAAACGTGCTGCAGAGTTAGACTTCCTAACGTAATAATGTTTGGAGTTCGATGTTTCACGCAGGCAGGAATATAAGTCCTCCTATGTATACGTTTTTACATTTGTTCTCTCGTATATACCCTCCAGCCCTAGCTGAGCCCAAAGATTGGGCTTTTCCGATATCATCATTTTTACCGTGTGGCTACTGTATTGTGTTACAGTAGGGTATCAGCTCCTGGTGCTTATGTGTCTGTTTCCTGCTGTCTGCTCCTCAGGGACACTATGTGGCGCATCTTTACTGGATCATTGCTAGTGGAGGAGAAGTCAAGTGTCCTTCTGCATGACCTTCGAGAGATTGAGGCCTGGATCTATCGATTGCTTCGTTCCCCAGTGCCCGTCTCTGGGCAGAAGCGAGTAGACATTGAGGTCCTACCCCAGGAGCTCCAACAAGCTCTGACCTTTGCTCTTCCAGACCCTTCTCGATTCACCCTGGTGGATTTCCCACTGCACCTTCCCTTGGAACTTCTGGGTGTGGATGCCTGTCTTCAGGTGCTAACCTGCATCCTCTTAGAGCACAAGGTGAGAGAGCCAGCTTTCTAGACCTTTAAGGACAGGGCTTACATCTTTTTCATCTTTTTGTCCCTAGAAGGTAACATATGCCAGGTATACAGCAGGCACCCTCTAGGTGTGAGCTGGATTAAGGTACTCTCAGTGGAATGTATTCAGAGGGTCTGCCACTCAGTTGAATTATCCTTAACTAGACTGACCTAATTCTCTGGAAATATCAGTAGTTCTGTTCCAATGAGTGGTCCTGTAATTGGGGGAACAAGAACCAGGAAGGTAAGGCATGGGGCAGAGAGCACTGTGAAAGCTGTGCTCGTAGGGCCCTAGGCGTGGTGAGATGGAAATTAAATGGTAGCGCTGGAAGCTGTTTTCTCATCCCCGTTATTCTTGCTGTTGAACGATCCTTGTGGGATGGCTTGCGGCAGGTGGTGCTACAGTCCCGAGACTACAATGCCCTCTCCATGTCTGTGATGGCATTTGTGGCGATGATCTACCCACTGGAGTATATGTTTCCTGTAATCCCACTGCTGCCCACCTGCATGGCATCGGCAGAACAGGTGAGTTTCAGGTGCTTTCTGGCTTTGTCACCTCTACTTTCCAGCTCTGTCCAGCTCTGAGGGAGATCAGTGCCGAGAAGTTGTAAATCAGTACTCATCTTCTTTCCCTTATTATAACTTATATGTCTGTAAACCATGACCTAACTTGAACTGATTTGATGTCAAAACTTTTGTTATTTTTGGTTTTTACTTTCATGTAAATGTTGGGACCCCTGGGTGGCTCAGTCGGTTAAGGATTTGCCTTCCACTCAGGTCATGATCCCAGGGTCCTGGGATCAAGCCCCATGTCAGGCTCCCTGCTCAGTGGGGAGCCTGCTTCTCCCTCTGCCTGCCATTCCTCCCTGCTCAAGCCCCCCAGCAAATGAATAAATGAAAAAATTTTTTAAAAATTTAATAATTATAGGTTTCTGGCTACACTGTTGCAGGTGTTACACAATGTACAGAATATACACTGTTACCTCTCTAAAATCTGAAAAATTGTGAATATAGAAACACACCTACCCTCAAGAGTTTTGGAAAAGAGATTATGGACCTGGATTTCCTTATCTAAAAGGATCCTGATTCTTTAAGTGATCGAAATAGATTTAGTTTTTGTTTCTTACCCTCTTTTTTCTTCCCACAGCTGCTGTTGGCTCCAACTCCATACATCATTGGGGTCCCTGCCAGCTTCTTCCTCTACAAACTGGACTTCAAAATGCCTGATGACGTATGGCTAGTGGATCTGGACAGCAATAGGGTGAGGTTCTTGGCCGAGGGACTATAGATTCTAGAATAGGATTGTGTTTTCTTTTTCTAGATTATTCCCAGGAAGGTCCTCAGGTGATTTCTCTTGTGTGACTCATTGAAAAATTTTTTTAAATGCTTAGCTTTTGCTTTATTGGCTTAATAGGCCCTGGTTAGAACTCAAAGGAGTGTCAGATTTAGTTTTGCCAGAGGGAAGTGCTGCCCTGCATCTGGGAGTAGTAAGGCCGTTGTGATCGTGGGAACACGACATACAGTGTAGCTCACCTGATGGTTCTCCTGGGCTATGGTTTCTAGTGAGAAAGTGTCTTTCAATGCAGACTTAAAATGCATATTAATATTCTGTGGCATGAGTACATTCAGACTTCAGCAGGAACCCTTATATGTATTTGTTGTAAAACTAAAAATCCAAATAAGTATAAATAAATAAAAACCACAGCCCTAGCATGTAGAGATAGTCACCAGTAACATCGGGGTGTATTTCTTTTTATTTACATATGTGTGTATTTTAAATATATGTGGATACATGATATACATATTCACATATGGGTGAAAATACCGTGTATACAACTTACTATTTTTGTTACTTCCTCTATGTAAGAGCAACTCCTGAGCAACTAATTCCAAGGTCATGCCTTTTTTTGTTTTTCTGGTGCAGGTGATTGCCCCCACCAATGCAGAAGTGCTCCCAGCCCTGCCAGAACCAGAATCATTAGAGCTGAAGAAGCATCTGAAGCAGGTGGGTGAAGAGAGAAGAAAAGGAAGGGAGCAGTGGCTACTCTAGGGCGGCCTGGAGGCTGTGGCTGTTCTAAGAGCCACTTTCCTTTCAGACGACAAGTGGATTAGATTTTCTTAGCTAAGAAGAGGTGTGTCCCATTTCTGGGTATCAGGATGAATCTCAAAAAGGGCTTTTAGATTTTTTTTTTTTTTAAAGATTTGTTTATTTTGAGAGAGAGTGTGCATGGGGAGGGGGAGGAGCACAGGAAGAGAATCTCAAGCAGACTCCCCAGTGATTAGAGCGCCCAATGTGGGACTCGATCTCACAACCCTGTGATCATGGCCTGAGCCGAAACCAAGAGTTGGACATTCAACCCACTGAGCCACACAGACGCCCCTCATGTCTGCCATTCTTTATGGCCTTAGAGCATTCTTTCTCTCTTGTAAGGAAGGAGCTAGTCATTTGGACAATCTGACTCTTTTCATATTTTCCTTTTGAATTGATCCCTAGGTCCCCGTAGAATGCTTTCTTCAAAAATTCCTCTCTTTGAGTAATCCTTTCAATACATTTTTCATTGATTGATTTTCTTCCTCTTCTGCATGCCGAGCACAGTACCTGAAGGTAACATGTGGCAGGGCCCTATTCCTTCTTCCTCTTGTGTGTGTTATGTAGGACCACCAGTAGACAGCTCCATATTTCTTTATAGGAATCCTTGTTCTCATTCGAAGGGTCTTTAGGAACCTCCGTGTTGTCTTAGCTGCTCAGCAGTACCTCTAGATATCTGTTTGGGCTCAAATGGGTCATTCTGTAGCATCTCTCTCCCTCTCACTTGCTTCATCCCTACTGATGTAATACGGTGTCTTGTTACTGCCGGGACTGGTGAGGATTGCAAGTTGAGAAAGTTCTCTGCCTGCCTTTGCTGTGTTTTCATTCTTGCTGATTGCTTAAGTATGACTAATAAGATGGAGAGGTTGATATGTAGAATTGTACTTCAAATGTTTATAGGAGTTAAGATCCCTGGGCTCATTAATCCTGTATTCTTACCCCTGCTACTTGAAATGTGATTCACGGACCAGGAGCATTACCATTGCTTGTGGTTGTTAAAAGTGCGGAATCACTCCAGATATATTGAACCAGAATTTGCATTTTTAACAACATTCCCAGGTGACTCCTGTGATCATTAATATTTAAGAAGCATTGCTGGTCTAGACTGAAAAACATTTCATGACTAAAATAAATTTGGAAACTATTGCCCTGGGTTCCGTATTTGATTAAGTTGCCTTGAGCCAGGTTGGCTTAAACTGAAAGCCTGTATAATTCAGATTATCTTCTGAAGGTTAAAGTATTTGGATTCTTATGTCAAAGACTCTTTCCTAGGAGATGACTTCCTAGCTACCCAGGAATCTGCGCTCTATAGGGGATTTCCTGTTGTTCCGCAGGCCCTTGCCAGCATGAGTCTCAACACCCAGCCCATCCTCAATCTGGAGAAATTCCATGAAGGCCAAGAGATCCCCCTCCTCTTGGGAAGGCCTTCTAACGACCTGCAGTCCACACCTTCCACTGAATTCAACCCACTCATCTATGGCAATGATGTGGATTCTGTGGATGTTGCAACGAGGTACGACCAAGTTGACTGGTTAATCACGTGCTCTTCAGCTGGGTTCTGCTCTGTCAGTAGCTGCATGTACCACCTTAGTGCAAGCAAAGAGAAGTACTGGTTCCTCATACTCTCAGGCCTTTTAGACCTTGAGTGCAGAGAGATCAGTGCTTGTTTAAGATCCTTCTCCCTGTGAAGTGCTGGCTTGGGGAGGTGGTCTGAGACCTCAGACTGCACCCGTCCTTATGGTGCAGGGTGTGGGACTCGGATCATCTCACCATCCCCTTCTTCCCCAGAGTGGCCATGGTCCGTTTCTTCAACTCCCCCAACGTGCTGCAGGGCTTCCAGATGCACACACGTACCCTGCGTCTCTTCCCTCGGCCCGTGGTAGCTTTTCAAGCTGGCTCCTTTCTAGCCTCACGTCCCCGGCAGACTCCTTTTGCTGAGAAGCTGGCCAGGACTCAGGCCGTGGAGTACTTCGGAGAATGGATCCTGAACCCCACCAACTACGCCTTCCAGCGAATCCACAACAGTGAGTGCACCTGCCCCACCTTCTGCCTTTGTCCCCTGATGGCCCTTCCCTTTGCCTTTTCTCAGCTTTGACCTGCCCCTTCCATTCCCGTTTGGCTTTAGACTTTTTCCTATCTTTCTTTTATGCTCTTCTTGTCTTTTTTTCTCCTTGTTGCTAACTTTGTTCTTTCTCTTTGGGTAGACATGTTTGATCCAGCCCTGATTGGTGACAAGCCAAAGTGGTATGCCCATCAGCTGCAGCCTATCCATTATCGAGTCTATGATAGCAACTCCCAGCTGGCCGAGGCACTGAGCGTGCCCCCAGAGCGCGACTCTGACTCTGACCCCACTGATGACAGGTGAGCGGCAGAACTGATTTTTAAGGTACAAAGGAGGCTTTCACTGGCCTTTATTGAGCACAGTGGCAAAGCCTCGTAGGACTTAGATATTGGTCTTTGAAGCCGTGGTTATATTTTTGTTAATTGTTTTGTGTTAGCTTACTTATTTTATTTTATCTTGTTTCCTGGCCTCAAGTTAAGAGTACTACTCTTTTATTTTCCCCAAGTTTTTTTTTTTTTTTTTTTTTTTTAAAGATTTTTTTTTTCATTTGAGAGAGAGAGAGAAAGAGCACATGGAGGGGCAGAGGGAGAGGAGGAGAAGCAGACTCTGCTAAGTGTAGAGTCCAACTTGGGGCTTGATCCCCGACCCTGAAAACATGACCTGAGCCGAAATCAAGAGTTGGACACTTAACCAACTGAGCCACCCAGGCACCCCCTCCCCCTGCTTTTTAAAAAGATTTAATTTTAATTTCGGTGTAGTTAACATATAGCATTATATTAGTTTCAGGTGTACAATACAGTGATTCAGCAATTCGACACATTAGTCAGTGCTTATTGTGATAAATGTACTTTAATTCTCATCACCTGTTTCACCCCCCACCCTCCTCCCCTCCAGTAGCCATCAGCTTGTTCTATATTAAGAATTTCTTTCTGGGGGCGCCTGGGTGGCTCAGTGGGTTAAAGCCTCTGCCTTCAGCTCAGGTCATGATCCCAGGGTCCTGGGATCGAGCCCCACATCGGGCTCTCTGCTCAGCGGGGAGCCTGCGTCCTCCTCTCTCTCTCTCTGCCTGTCTCTCTGCCTAATTGTGATCTCTGTCAAATAAATAAATAAAATCTTTAAAAAAAAAAAATTTTTCTTTCTGGGGCGCCTGGATGGCTCAGTGGGTTAAAGCCTTTGCCTTTGGCTCAGGTCATGATCTCAGGGCCCTGGGATCAAGCCCTGCATCGGACTCCCTGCTCAGCGGGGATCCTGCTTCCTCCTCTCTCTTTCTCTGCCTGCCTCTCTGTCTACTGGTGATCTATCAAATAAATAAGTAAAAACCTTAAAAAAAAATCCTAAGAATTTCTTTCTTGGTTTGTCTTTTTTTTTTTTCCTTTGTTTGATTGTTTTGTTTCTTAAATTCTGCATATGGGTGAAATCATATGGTATTTTTCTTTCCCTGACTTATTTCACTTAGTATTATACTCTGGTTCCATCCATATTGTTGCAGATGGCAAGATTTCATTCTTTTTTATGGCTAAGTAATATTCCTCTGTGTGTGCGTGCGCGCGTGTGGGTGTGTGTGTGTATGAGAGTCCTTGCTTTTTTATTTTTCCTAATGCTGATCACTGATTCTTTTCCCTTCCCCTTCCTTCCGTTGTATTTTTATTTTTGTTTCTATTTTTGGGCTCTTCACTCTGCAGTGGCAGCGATAGTATGGATTATGATGACTCAAGCTCTTCTTACTCCTCCCTTGGTGACTTTGTCAGTGAAATGATGAAGTGTGACATCAATGGTGATACTCCCAGTAAGTCTACTTGGGGACAATGGCTCGCTCCGGGCAGGGTTTGGGGCCCTGGGACCGTGCGGTCTGTACCTGCCCCCTTGGGTTTCGGCAGATGTGGATCCGTTGACGCACGCGGCGCTGGGGGATGCCAGCGAGGTGGAGATCGATGAGCTGCAGAACCAGAAGGAATCCGAGGAAGCGGGCCCGGACAGCGAGAACTCTCAGGAAAACCCGCCACTGCGCTCCAGCTCCAGCACCACCGCCAGCAGTAGCCCCAGCACCGTCATCCATGGAGCTAGTGCTGTGCGTGGCGACTTGGAAGGGTGGATGAGTGCGAGCTGTTACTGGGCACGTGGGCCGCACCTCTGTCAGAAAGTCAAGGCGGAAGCTGTTAATTTGCCGCTTCACATTCTTCCGGTCTTCCTCTCCATGGGTCTCCTCGCGTAGAGCCTAGGAGACACAGAAAGAGCTCACTGGGCTTTGTTCAGGACTTAGCTAAGATCCCCCCTTGCATAGTTTGTGGGCACAGACACCAGGAGTGTCACAGAGATCTTCTCTCTCTCATTCCCTTAGGATAGGAGATGGGAACTTGATAGGCCTGGCTTGGCCCTGCTAATCTGAGAATACAGGAAGGTATTGCTGGGCGCCAGGTGACTACTTTTTATTTAATGTGCCCTTTAGGAACCTGCCGATTCAACGGAGGTGGACGATAAGGCAGCAGTAGGCGTCTCCAAGCCCCTCTCTGCCGTGCCTCCCAGCATGGGCAAATCGAACACGGACAGGCGCCAGACAGAAATTGGAGAGGGGTCAGTGCGCCGGCGAACCTGTGACAATCCATACTTCGAGCCCCAGTATGGCCTTCCCCCTGAGGAAGATGATGATGAGCAGGGGGAAAGTTACACTCCCCGATTCAGCCAACATGTCAATGGCAATCGGTGAGAGCCTGGGGATTCCTTCTAGATGGGTGACTGAAGGACCGCACTGCAGTGGACCCCGGGTGAGGGTTAATCAGAAAGTCGGAGAAGTCCAAATGCTCTGGTTGCCCTCTGTCCCAGGCTGGTGCTTTGATCTAGGCATATACGAGTTGTGGAAAGGGAGCCATGATGGCAGTGCAGGTCAGGCCCACACTCCCAAGACTAGGTACCCTTGCCTGGGGCTCACAGGTGCCACTGTGCATTCAAGGGCTCAAAAGCTGCTGCGGCCCAACAGCTTGAAACTGGCAAGCGACTCCGAGGCAGAGTCCGACTCTCGCGCAAGCTCACCCACCTCCACCATCTCCAACAACAGCACCGAGGGCTTCGGGGGCATCATGTCTTTTGCCAGTAAGTGCCTTCAGCTCTCGTTTCTCTGTCCCGTTTGGTCTGCAGTAGAGCCTGGCCATGGTGGATGCTGCTTAGAACCTCAGATGTAGGACTGGACTGTTGGTATCGAGCCCTAGTCCAGCTTGTTCGGGTGACAGTGAATTAGGTATTTTCAAGGGAGGACAGTAAAGGACAAGGACAGATTAGTCTCTCTCTCCAGAGGTTTCAGTCTATCTCAGGTAAGATAGCAGTCAACTGAGAGTCGTATTAAACGTCATATATTTTGTGGAAATACAATGGTCAAATTGGATTTGGGTTCTGTATCTAATACATTTTTTGCCTGGTAAAGGACTTTTTCATGAACACACTTGGAAATCTGTATGAGGAATGTATATAAGGTTGACTTTTGTGCCTAGAGAATATTGCCGGAAATGCAGGGTGGTGTCCGTTAGAGATTAAGGACAGGCCAGGGACCGGAGAGAGCCGGCATCAGGAATAATTATGACTGAGTTTTTTCAGAAGCCAGGTAAGGGTAGCATCAACTTCTGACCAAAAGTGCATAAAGTCAGCTTTCACACCGAGTTAGCGGTTGGTGAGAGACTTGGCTGTTACCACGGGAGGTGGTCAGAGAAAGTTGTCACTGGGTTTTGAACAATCCTGGCAGTTGCCCCTTTGGTTGCCCTAAATTATAGACTTGGTCCTTTCTGTGGTAGATCAGAGGTACCGGGGCTATGCTTGAAAAGGAAGATGGAGATGATGGTACAATCATCAGCTTTGATTCTCTGTGCTCCTAACTCATCGCTCTCATACCCTCCTCTTGACAGGCAGCCTGTATCGAAACCACAGTACAAGCTTCAGTCTTTCAAACCTCACACTGCCCACCAAAGGTGCGCGAGAGAAGACCACACCCTTCCCCAGTCTGAAAGGTAACTGCAGCCCTCCTTCCGCCGAACCAGGATTCTCCGGGAGATATTTCAGGCCTATGGGTGCTTGTCAGGAACCCTGTGTATGACGGCTCATTTGATCTGGCTGTGGCCCCTCATACCGCTTCTCATGGCTTTCATTGCACATGATGGGCTCTGACTGGTTTTCAGATGGGAATGGTCTTTGTAGCTGGAGAGGAGGCCCTGCTGTGTCATTTAGGGTAACAGCGGCTGTGCGATAACTGCTTCTGGGGGGAATCCATAATGAACACGGGGGTCATGAGCTGCCACTAGTCATCTGCTGGTTTCTTGCTGCATGAGCAGAGGAGCGCTCCGTCCCAGGGATCTGGCCCGCCAGGGGATGGTTGCGAGAGCCTGGCACTGTTTACAGAGCCAAGAAGCCTCTCACTTTGGCTTCACGTCAATAAGCCCTGTGGGTGGGCCAGGTAGTACTGGTTGGCTTCTAAGAGCAGTTATGACCTTATTTGATTTTCATTTGTGAGCTTGGAGGGTCTGAAGGGCTCTTCGGAATTTACTCTCTTGACGTTTGTTTGTTTTCTCTAGCTATTGGGCTGAAATATTTAATTACAGTAGAGAGCATAGTGAGAAGAGCTCTGTATATATTTTAACTGACTTCTCTCCCCAGTGATTAAAAACTCCGGCAATCGAAGGAGTGTTCTCTGATGGGGATGGGAACATAGGGTAGGAGGGCAAAGAGACGTGATAGCTAGAGGTGTAGGGGGCTAACTAGCACTGTGGCACAAATCCACACATAACTCAGTAGCTTAGGAAAAGGGTTAGTCACTGGCTTCACGCGATGTAGTTGGGGAGGAAAGCGGTTGAAATGCCTTCATCGCATGCGGACGTCTCACTCATCTGTTGCCCTTCTCGCTCCCATCCGCCTCCCGTCCTCACACCCCACCCCACTTCCCATGACAGCATCTGCAAGATGGGTCTCCTCTTTTGGCCTACTGGCAGGCCCTCTGGACCCCCATGCGAGATGTTTCATGAAAACCAGCAGTCCCTCTTTCATGCATGTGCCTGTTCAGTACCTGAAGGTCCCTCATGTCATTTACCCTGCCCCTGGCTTTTAGAGACCATAGCCTTAAGGACGGTCTTTCCTAGAGCCTTGGTGGTTTCCTGATCTCTTGGCTTCCAGCTCTGAGGTGCCTGAGAACTAAGGTTATGTGCACTAAGCTTTGGGAGAATCCTCAGGTGGTCTGACTTACAGCTCCATCGAGGGGAACAGGGGTTGTGGTATCACGGTGCACCTACTAACTGTGTATTTTGTGTCCCAGTATTTGGGCTAAATACTCTAATGGAGATTGTTACTGAAGCCGGCCCCGGGAGTGGTGAAGGTGGGTCTTGCCCGTGAGCTGTGCATGATCTTTTTTTTTTCCTAGCATCTTCCGTGCCTGCCTAAGGGCCATCCTCTGCACGGAGCAAGCAGTGTCCCATGAGTGACCTGCCTTGCCCCTCCCCCATGACGCCCGTGCTTGCCCGTGGGGCGCTGCTGGTGCATGTGGAGTGGCCTGAGTCTCCATCCCCACCTCCTCCACATTGCCATGGCTGGTTTCGACCTATGTGTGATGGCCCGGGGCCACCCTCGCCCAGCCCTTCTGGGGAGTGGGTGTGGAACATGGCTCCCCAGGGCAGTGCTGACACAGGCAGCGGGACCACAGTAGTGATGTCTATCATTCCTACCTTCCTGGCTATAGGAAACAGGAGGGCCTTAGTGGACCAGAAGTCATCTGTTATTAAACACAGCCCAACAGTGAAAAGAGAGCCTCCATCACCTCAGGGTCGATCCAGCAATTCTAGGTAATAAATGGCTGGGCTATTTCCAAAGTTCTGCGATAGAGGTAGCAATTCCTGTGCCGCCCTCTAGGGTTGCTCAGGAGTGGGAGAGCACCTCCCAGCTGGGCAGACGAAACCCGTTCTCGCGCGCACTGCCCATTCTGACTGACTCCCCACGCGACAGTAGTAGCCCACGCCGGCGAGGAGAATGGAACTGCAGTGCTGGGTACGCGGGGGGGTGGAGGGGGGCAGGGGGTGCAGGGGACTTGGACGTCTGGAGACTTGGTTTGTGTTCCGCCCCTGGAGGCAAGCATCTAGTCTGGCGAAGGCCAGTGGGTCAGGGTGGCGGGGGTGCTCCGCACAGAAGCTGATGACCACAGCGGTGGTGTGTGGACCCCATAGTGAGAACCAGCAGTTCCTGAAGGAGGTGGTCCACAGCGTGCTGGATGGCCAGGGCGTTGGCTGGCTCAACATGAAAAAGGTGCGTCGGCTGCTGGAGAGCGAGCAGCTGCGAGTCTTTGTCCTGAGCAAGCTGAACCGCTCAGTGCAGTCAGAGGACGATGCCCGGCAGGATGCCATCCCCGACGTGGTCAGTGTCTGGGGGCGAGGGGAGCTGGCATCAGTGGGAAGAAGGACCTGGACACCGAAGGCAGTTTTGCCAACTCTAGGCCTTGGCTTATCGTTGCAGGAGGTCAGTCGGAAGGTATACAAGGGGATGCTAGACCTGCTCAAGTGCACGGTGCTCAGCCTGGAGCAGTCCTACGCCCACGCGGGTCTGGGGGGGCATGGCCAGCATCTTTGGGCTTCTGGAGATTGCCCAGACCCACTACTATAGCAAAGGTAGGGATCCCACTGGCTGGGCCAGCGCCGTCCACAGCTCTCCCACTGATTACGAGGAAAGGGAACTCATTCTTTTACAAGTTCCTCAGGGTCAAGCTTGCTTCCTATCAGAATTTGGGATTTATTTTTTTAATGCATGTTTGTCTATAGAGGGTACTTTCCAGTCACGAAAAATAAGACATCCACTTTTCTTTCCTTGCATTTTTTCCGTTCTCCATCCTCCTGTAGACTCTCTTCTCTCACCTCACTCCCATAGCTTGATTACCACTCACTCTGTCTGTTTCGACCTCTTCCTCTATTTGATCTTTTCCTAGAACCAGACAAGCGGAAGAGAAGTCCAACAGAGAGTGTAAATACCCCAGTCGGCAAGGATCCTGGCCTGGCCGGACGGGGGGACCCAAAGGCGATGGCACAGCTGAGAGTTCCCCAGCTGGGACCTCGGGCACCTAGTGCTGCAGGAAAGGGTCCCAGAGAACTAGACACCAGAAGTTTAAAGGAAGAAAATTTTGTAGCATCTGTTGGTATGTATCACTGTGTTTGGTGTGGTGGAGGGAGGATTGTGGCTTCTTAAATACCTCTCCCTCCTTTCAATTCATCCAGAATCCTGCCTTTCTTTTCCCCATGCTTTGCTTTTTAGAGAGGGAGACAGGTCTGCGTCCATTTCTGATGTGTTTCTTTGTACTTCTTTATCCCTTATGCCACCTTTACACGCACCCCAAACTACATCTTAGAGGAAGGAAGGAGGTTTTGCTTAGAAGGCCAGTGAGGCCTTCTAAGTACAGGGAGTCTGAGCTCTGTTCTTGGTGCCTCTTTTTATTTATGTCTGGATTTCTTCACAGTGGAGAGCCATGTGAGCTCCTGGAGACTGTAAGGAAGTTTATAGAACATCTTTAGTCTATAAAATTATGATTATCTGGGCCAGTTTACCTCCATCCAGCCATGACACTACCCTCAAATTTGCTTCTCTGGGGGGTGTACAGCAACCCCATTTCCCTGGGCTCTAGACCTCAAGGTATAGATTTCTGAATCAGCTTTTCTTTAACCCTCTCCTTCCTGGACTTGATAAAGAGCTTGTTTATGTGGAGTGTTTCTCCATTCCCGCTAAGGCAGTGCCTTAGTGAGCTCTCTGGGTGGCACCTGCATTTGATTCTCTCTGTACTTGACCTTGAGTCATCTAGGTCTTGCACCTTTCTTTTTCTGATTCTGTTTCTGCGGGTAGTATGCTTCTAATGGGTCCTTCTTTGCCACACCATTAGCAGTTGTTTTATGTTCCCATAAATGAGGATGAAGCACCAGTTTCCTTTGTTGGGGAGCTTCCCTTCTCTAAGCCAGCAGAACAGTGTCCTAGAGGCCAACACCCCTGCCTTCCTCCTGCCTGATGTGACGTTTTAGGAAAGGCCCCCAAGCACAAGTCTGAAGGCCTGGGGTTTTAGTCCCGTATCTGTTTCCAGCTGGGAATGAGACTTTGGGCAAACCACTTCCTCTCTCAGTGTCTCTACCTCCTCATCTGGGAAACTAGGATATCTGGGAAACTAGGATATTACAGAGGCTGTAATCTCTCTTCTTTACCCCAACAAAGATGCTATTCTTGAGTATTTCATGTTCTCTGTCACCTTTACTGGAAGCGTTTTTCCCCATGACTGGCTAAGAATGGGTCACTTGGCAGGGCAGACGCTGATTCTGAGGGTGAATCAGATTTTTTGGGTAGAGGCAAGGAGGGATACTGACTGCCTGCCTGAGTGGCCTCTGTCCGGTCCAGCAAATCACACAGATTGGTGCTCATGCTTCTGAACCCCTTTGGCTGCTTGAGGTGATCATCTGTCTTGTCTGGAATCTTTAAAAATTGTTGTTGCCCAGCTCCTTTGGCAGAGATAGCAGGGCGTGATGGAAATTTAAACTGGTCCTAAGTGACATGATCTTGAGCAAAGTGCTCCAGCCTCCAGAGGTGTCAGTTTCCTCACGCCAAGATGGAGGAGCATGAGCGAAGGCAGTGCCATCTCCAATGTTCCGCAGGGTTCTTCCTACCACTTTCGGGTTCAGGTTAGGAATTTAGAGTCTTTAGTTCATGAGTGGGGATGGAAGGCACTAGATCTCTTGATTTTTAACCCCCGCCCCAACGATCTCTTTTTATCTCTTGATTTGTAATCCTGTGCCTGAGACTGAATCAGCTTGGGTGGTGGGTTTCCATTCTGTCTGACCAGCCTCTGACTCTGTCTGTCTTTCTCTCCTGCTTACATTGCATCTGGGGTAGAATTGTGGAACAAGCACCAGGAAGTGAAAAAGCAAAAAGCTTTGGAAAAACAGAGTAAGGAACAAATGCCCCTTCCTGTTCCCAAATCTCCCATACCTGCCAACTCCCCAGGCCCAGTTGGGGCAGGCTCCCTTTGTCAGCCCCACCCCAAATTTGCTCTTGGGTGGTATTTGGAATGAAAGCAGGTAGGTGGTATGGGACGCACAGGTATGTGACTCGTAGGCTGCTTCTTCCCCCCATCCTCCTAGCAATCAGGCTGTAATCAGGGCATCTACTGCATAAAGTCCCTTAGAACATGGTTTGCTATTGCTCCGGAGTTGGTGGGGAGAATGTTTGCCTATTTCAGTGCCCCTCATTGGCTGGTATCCCCCTCACCCGTGAGAAGGCCTGTGGGCGCAGTTGGCAGAGATGGTTGCTGTCCCTCCATGTTGAGTCTGTAGCTTCCCAGCTCTCTCTGGCGGCTTGCCTAGGCACGCTTTCTTGCTTTCTGTCATTCTGTCCTTCTGCCATACCACTGTGGGTGGGTGGGGAAAAAATGAGGGTGGTTTTTATCTCAAATGTAGAGACATGTAGGGTTGGGGTAGTCAGTATCCACGGAAACAGCTGGTGTTTCTGTATCTCACTGGGCCTGTCCTTTTCTAGCTCCTTTAGACACATTTGTTGGGGAAGCACTGAGTGGCCTGGGGACCCTTAATTGGTTTCACACACCAGTGAAGCTCCGACTCTGAGTATGGGGGAATGTGGTTTAGACATTTATTTGTGGAGCTTTCTGTTTTAGAATGATTTGCTGAGAATTTTCTCAGGTTGTGGAGATGGCTGCAGAATCCCTTGAGGCCAGGTTTCATTTGTCCTACTTGGTTCTTAAGGCATCTGGGGACTTCTTCCAGTGGGGCCTGATGTGGGGGCAGTCCCTGGAAGGGTGACTGGGACATGCTGAGGTGTGTGACCTGGCTGTGTGCTGTCCCACTCCCTTCACCAGCCTGCCCCTTGCCTTTGTGTGTGGAGTGACAGAGGTTTTCCCCTACCCAGGGCCTGAAGTCATCAAACCCATCTTTGAGACAGAGGAGAAAAAGTCCCAGATCAGCGCGGACAGTGGCGTGAGCCTGACATCTGGTTCCCAGGTTTGTGACAACCTTGTTGGGAATTGTGAGCATTAAATTTGCTATCTCAGAATACTTCAAGTTAAAAAAAAAAAAGACAACATGCATGCCCAGTGATGGGAGAATGATGAAATAAGTGTAGTATATGTATGTAATCCTACGTTAGTATCTACTAAAGACTGTGTTTTCAAAAATCTAGTGACATGGGAAAATGTTTTACAAGGCTATGTGCAGTATGATTCCCATTTTATTTTTAAAATGTTTGTAGAGATGACTGAAAGGAAGTATACTAAAACCTTACCAGTGATTCATGTTAGTGGTAGGTTTATGGCTTATTTCTGTTTCCACATTCTTTCATGTATTTTCTATAGCGAGCATGTATTTCTTTAGTGTTTATTATTTTTCATCAGTGCAAGTCATGTATATTTTATATTGAGGAAAAAGATAAACGTCTCATGACCTGTTTAGGGATGACGATAGTAGGTTGGGGTTGAGGAGAAGGAAGACGGTACATTATTTCTTAGGAAAACTGAGAGTGGGTGGGACACCTCCTCTAATGTGTCCGAGTTCCCGTGTCGTTTCAGAGGACTGATCCAGACTCTGTCATTGGTGTGAGTCCAGCCGTTATGATCCGAAGCTCAAGTCAGGACTCTGAAGTTAGCACCGTGGTAGGGGAACACCACACTGGCATCGTGGTGGGTGGGGTGTGAGTCCCCCTTTGGGAAAGGGGGCTGATTTCTCCTTTGGAGGCTCTTAGTCTCGTGTCAGCTTGGTTCTCATGGTGGAGATGCTCACCCTGCATAGGTCTGTGTGCACGGGATCAGACCCTGAGATTTCACCCAGGGCTTCTCATCTTGTAAAGAAGGTACTAGCAGAGGCTCTCTGACACACCTTTGAAGTGCAGTGCTTTGTTTTTGGTTTTGTTTTGTTTTGTTTTTGATGGCAGTAGAGAGCTCTGACAGCTGTGCATTTCTGGGAGTCCTTTGCTGGGGAATATCCCTTATTACCTTTCTTTCCTTTCCAGGTGAGTAATAGCTCTGGAGAGACCCTTGGAGCAGACAGTGACCTGAGCAGCAACGCAGGTGATGGGCCAGGCGGTGAGGGCAGCGCCCACTTGGCCAGCTCTCGGGGCACCTTGTCTGATAGTGAAATTGAGACCAACTCTGCTACCAGCACCATCTTTGTAAGTTTTGTTTACTAACAAAAGGAGGTCATTTCTTTCATGGGAGGGGAGTGGGTTAGAAAAGAATGAAACATTAGGGACAATTAGAAGGAAAAGAGGAAGTAAGGAATGGATTATCCCCATGTATTTGGCTTCAAAGAAAATGTTTCTTAAGGCTTTTTTCAGAGTTATTTTACTCCACGATCTGGGGCTTTAAGGACCCTTTCCTGGATCACTGATGAGTTGGATTCCCCTCCCAGACACATTAGGGCTTCAAATCCTATGTAGCAATTATTCCCAAGTTAGACAAGGTGGTAGGTGTCTTCGTGGCAATGTCAGGGCAATGACCGCTCTCATTTTGTGTCATTCTGCCAAAGTGTGGTTTTATTCTGGTCACTACTCTATTTATATAGCACTTTTTTTTTTTTTTAAGACATTTATTTGACAGAGAGAGGACAAGCAGGGAGAGAGGGAAAAGCAGGCTCCCTACTGAGTAGGGAGCCCAATGCAAGGCTCAATCCCAGGACCCTGGGATCATGACCTGAGCTGAAGGCTGACGCTTAACTGACTAAGCCACCCAGGCGCCCCTTTTTATATAGCTCTTTAAAATAGCATTTTAGGGGCACCTGGGTGGCTCAGTGGGTTAAGCCTCTGCCTTCGGCTCAGGTCATGATCCAGGGGTCCTGGGATCGAGCCCCACATTGGGCTCTCTGCTCCGCAGAGAGCCTGCTTCCTCCTCTCTCTCTACCTGCCTCTCTGCCTACTTGTGATCTCTGTCAAATAAATAAAATCTTAAAAAATAAAAAAATAAAATAGCTTTTTAGGGATGCCTAGGTAGCTCAGTCGGTTAAGTGGCTGCCTTCAACTCATGTCATGATCCCAAAGTCCTGGGATTGAGTCCTGCATCAGGCTCCTTGCTCAGCGGGGAGCCTGCTTCTCCCTCCACCTCTGCCTGCCACTCTGCCTACCTGTGCTCTCTCTCTTTCTGACAAATAAATAAATAAAATCTTTTAAAAAATAAATAAATAAAATAGCATTTTATTTTCTCATATTTCTAACAGTTATTTGATATTTTCATTCATTAATATTTATTAAGTGATTCACTAAGTGCTGTATTCTGTAAAGAAAGAGAGTGAATAAGACATTCTCACTCTCAAGAAGTTTGGAGTTCAGCATGTTGCTGTACTCATCTCTTCTGACAGGTGAGGGGAACAAAGCCTTAGGAAAAAAAGAACTTGCCCTACATCCTACCAAAAGGCAGTGATCAGTTGGAATTAAAGTAATTCTGTTTAGTCCTTGCCTTTAGACACACTGCATTTTGGTGTATGCAAGGCTCTTGAGGCAGCATTAAGCACTCTGATACACTTGTCACCTTATTAGAGTTGAAAATGAATATCCTTTTTTGTTAATTTTTTTAGGGGCTCCTGGGTGGCTCAGTGGGTTAGGCCTCTGCCTTCGGCTTAGGTCATGATCTCAGGGTCCTGGGATTGAGCCCCACATTGGGCTCTCTGCTCAGCAGAGAGCCTGCTTCCCCCCCTCTCTCTGCCTGCCTCTCTGCCTACTTGTGATCTCTGTCAAATAAATAAAATCTTTAAAATAATAATAATTTATTTAAAAGTTTTTATTTGAGTGAAAGAGAGATCGTGAGCAGGGGTAGAGAAAAGCAGACTCTCCTCTGAGCAAGGAGCCCTATGCAAGGTTTGATCCCAGGACCCTGGGATCATGATCTGAACTGAAGGCAGACACTTAACCTACTGAGCCACTCAGGAGCCCTGAGAATGGTATTCCTTATAGGAGCTTAAAGGTCCTTATCTTTGGTGTGTGGGGAGAAGGGAGGATGAAATTTAAATGAAATGAAGTATTTAACACCAGTGATCATTCCCACCCTCAGGGCTTTCTGAGTATGTGTTTCTAATAGGGCAAATGACATCCCTGAGCAAAGGTAGAAAATGGGACTGAGAGTCATCAGAGCCATTTGAATTAATGGACCTTAACTCTCCTTGAGTCTAAATAGAAATTTTAATGAGAGTATTTTAAATCCTTCTAGTGTGCCTCCATTCTGGATGTTAAGATAGACATTATGGGATAGAGGTCTTGTAAGAAGCCGTTCAGCTGTGTGTGGCCTTTCCTGGCACCTTCCTGGGACAAATTCATGCTTGTTCTGTGCCGGTGGGCAAGGGCTGTTTCTGTACAGTTGAGTTGCCAAGGGCAATTATCTAAATTTCTTGGCTCAAAAAAAGAAGGCTGTTTTAGCAAGAAATAAGTTATATTAAGTCAGTATGGTCCATTGAACAAAGAATTGGGCTATGAACTCAGAGACTGGCGTGTAGACACACTAATTAGGTGTTGCCTCATAACCTTTGATCAGTCGCTTCTCTGCTTATGCTGTTGCATTAATTATGAAATGGGCATGAAGTTTGCCTCTTACCCATTTGAAATCTTTTTTGAATGAATAGAGAGTCCAATATTGCAGAAATGGCAGGTAAAGTTAGTGATTTTTCTAAGGGGCAGATATTTCTAAGAGATGGTAGGAAAGAGGAAATTGACATTTATCCCATCCAGCCATGTACCAGGCATTTATATGTATTTTCTAATTTAATTCCCGTAATGGTCGTACAAGGTAGATATATTATACCCTTCCTTTTGCAGGTGAGGAAAACAAGACTCAGAGAAGCTAAGTTTTACGCGTCAGGTCACACAGCTAGTAAGAGACAGGGATCTGAGTCTTGGTCAGTCTGTCTTGAAAACCAGTGTCCTCTTCTGTTGCATCATGCTGCTACAGAGGATTCACTTCTTATTTATTCATTTGAAAAGATCAAAGAGTCTTACAGAGACTCTAGGGTAAAGACAAGGAAAATGAAAATGGGATTGCATGTTGTAGGAGGCAATAGCAGAAAACAGCATTATCAGATTGACATCTGGTCCAGTCCTTGAGGCGAGCATCGAGCACAAGCAGGACTGCTTGAGTGCATGTTGTTAGCAGAGGTTAATGGGTGTGTGGGCCTCTTAATGCACTATGTGGCTTACGTTGCCCTGACCATTGGTACCTTGGGCAGCTAACCTGTCACCTCTTTGTAGGGGAAAGCCCACAGCTTGAAGCCAAGTGTCAAGGAGAAGCTGGTGGGCAGCCCAGTTCGCTCGTCTGAGGATGTAAGCCAGCGAGTCTATCTCTACGAGGGACTCCTAGGTGAGACACAGACTGGGAAGGCCTCTTGCACTGGAAGGAAGCTGGACTCAGCTGGGGAAGAGGGTAGCGCTGAACATGTAGCTGCTTAGCTCTGGGCTGATCTCAGTGCTGATGTTTGAGGGTGTGTTTATATCTGCAGAAGGTGACTTACTGGGTCTGGAAAAGGCAGTAGGTGAACGTTGGAAGAGACTAGATTTTGGTTTTAATCAACAGCCTCTGTCTTTCTGTCTGTCTGTCTTTCCTTTCTTGCAACCATGGTTCTTCCTGCTCACAAATTGGCAGGAAGGGACAAAGGATCGATGTGGGACCAGTTAGAGGATGCGGCTATGGAGACCTTTTCTATAAGTAACCACCTTTCTTTGTGTGCTGTGTTCATCCCTCCTCCTCGGGAGGGGCTGGGCCTCACTTGGAGGAGCTGGGGCTGGTGGCAGGAATGTTAGTTCTTGGGTGGAGAGGCTCACATTTGCTTTGTCCTAGAATTTGTCCCTTTTATCTAGAGCTTACTCTTTCCTTTGGTTTGGCAGCTGTATTCTTTATATGTTAAATAAGCCCCTAGAAAGATTCTGTTCCACACAGGCAAAGAACGTTCTACTTTATGGGACCAAATGCAGTTCTGGGAAGACGCGTTCTTAGATGCTGTGATGTTGGAGAGAGAAGGAATGGGTATGGACCAGGGTCCCCAGGAAATGATTGACAGGTATAAGACTTAGTGAATGCTTGAAAAATGCAAATTCAGCCTCTTCCAAGTTAGTTCTGTGGTCTCCTGCCTAAGAGCTGACTTCGCTGGTCTCCTGCTCAGGTACCTGTCCCTGGGAGAGCATGACCGGAAGCGCCTAGAGGATGATGAAGATCGATTGCTGGCCACGCTTTTGCACAACCTCATCTCCTACATGCTACTGATGAAGGTAATGTCGACTTTGCTTGTGCCCAGCTACTGCTGATGCTGGAAGGACAAGGCCTGTTCCTATGACCTAAATTCTGGGGCAGTTGGGAAGCTGTCAGAGCATCTTACTAGGTCTCTCTTCCTGATTGAAAGTGTGAGGTCTCGGGGAGCCTGGGTTGCTCAGTCGTTAAGCCGTTAAGCATCTGTTTTCGGCTCAGGTCATGATCCCAGAGTCCTGGGATTGAGCCGCACATCAGGCTCCCTGCTCAGCTGGAAGCCTGCTCCTCCCTCTCCAGCTCCCCTACTTGTGTTCCCTCTCTCGCTATCTCTTTCTGTCATAAATAAATAAAAATTTTTTTTAACTTTTTTTTTTTAAGACTTTTTTTTTTTTTTGGACAGGTAGATCAGAAGTAGGCAGAGAGACTGGCAGAGAGAGAGAGAGGAGGAAGCAGGCTCCCTGCCGAGCAGAGAGCCTGATGTGGGGCTCGATCCCAGGACCCTGGGATCATGACCTGAGCTGAAGGCAGAGGTTTTAACCCACTGAGACACCCAGGAGCCCCAGTAAATAAAATCTTTAAAAAAAAAAAAAAAGGAAAGCAAAGAAAAAGAAAGTGTGAGGTCGCTACAGCTCACACATGCTGTTTGTCTAAAGCTGCCAGGCTGTTGTACTGAGGAATGTTGTAAAGATGATTGGTGATTCCATTCCTTTTGTTCATTTTGAATTTTATTTTCTTATTTATATATTTATTTTAAAAATATTTTATTTTGG